AGATCATTTTAACAGCCATTTGCTTCCCTAAATTGTATTTCATTTACTCTAGTTAAAAAAAAAATAGTTTCTTTTCCTGTTTTGTGATACCGTTTCAGAGGTTTGAAAGGCCTACATTTTTGACCGTTTAGATAAGTACCCAGAAGGAGGTGCGTGCATGGAATTATCCTTGAAGAACTGAACTGGATTATAAATGACTGTGGTGGTCTGTGAGGAAATGCTGGTTTTGGATTTAGGGTCAGTAATGAGACCAGGATACAGAGCATACACTTTATTTGGGGTCAGGTTATTTGGAAGTCTTGAGCCGGGGCGGGGGGGGGGTGGGGGACGGACATCCAGGGAAGTAGAAGATGTATTTAAAGGACTGCGAAGCGTGAGGTTGTCGGTTGCCATGCAGCGTGTTAGCTGTCGCTGGCAACTAGGCTTCCCCTGCTCTCATACCGTCTGGCTCCGCACCTTTAATTTCTCTGTTGCGTACCTGCCCTCTTACCAGCTCTTTCTGAAATGCTGGTATAGAAGCTGGGAAAGGGAGGCACACTGGCGTCAGCGTGCTGCTCGACAGGTGGATAGATGACTGCTCTTCCTTGCCGTTCCCTTACACCCCTCCTCCACCTTTGCAGAGAGGTTGCTTGTCGGTAACGTCTCCTCCATTTGTGATATACTTCCCTTTCCTTTTGGGCCCCTGACTGGTACACGGTGGCCACAGTCTCAACAGTTTGTCCAGTCCGGTTTGTTGAAACCCATTTCATCGAGTCATTTCATCAAGGTGTTCTTTCACTTGGCAGTGTGGTTTTGTGTCCTGTCTTTCCAGGGTGAGAGCCTCCATATCTTCATTCAAAATTGTTCTTCCTTTGACTGGCATCTTCTCCACTGTGTGGATTCCAAATGCAGAGCCCATCTGTTTCCTTGTTGTCTAAAAGATTGACACAGAAATCTCTACTAGACTGAGATATGTAGTGTGGAATACCCTTCTTTTCTAAGTTCGTAGGACCAGATACCTTCAGAACAGATCAGGTTGTAAGGGCTCTATTTCACTTTCCTAATGCTCAAATAAATATGACTCTTGCTCCGTGGAAGGAAGGGGAAGAGAGCTCTACCCATATATGATGACTTTGTTTTTTAAATTATCACAATTGTTTTACTTTGATACTTTTTAAATGTTTATTTGGTTATTTTGAGAGCGAGCGAGCGAGCACATGAGCAGGGAAGGGGCAGAGAGAAGGGGAGAGAGAATCCCAAGCGGATGCTGCACTGACAGCGCAGAGCCTGATGTGGGATGTTACCTCCTAAACCGTGAGATCATGACCTGAGCCGAAATCAAGACTCAGACTGAGCCACCCAGGGGCCCCAGAAATGTTCAGTTTTGATGATGGGCCTTTGATTTAATTTGGGGCACTCATTAAAAGTTGATTTCAGAAGTAGGATTTAGTGATTCATCACTTCCATATAGTACCCAGCGTTCATCTCAAGTGCCCTCCTCAGTGCCCATCACCCATTTAGCCCATCCCACCTCCCCTCCAGCAACTCTATATTTGTTCTCTAGTTAAGAGTCTCTTATGGTTTACCTCCCTCTCTTGTTTTTATGTTATTTTTCTGTCCATTATGTTTGTTTCTTAAATTCCACATATGTGTGAAGTCATATGGTAGTTTTCTTTCTTCGACTTATTTCACTTAGCATAATACACTCTTGTTCCATCTATATCATTGCAAATGGCAAGATTTCATTCTTTTTGACGGCCGAGTAATATTCCAGTGCACATGTATACCACATTTTCTTTATCCATTCATCAGTCGATGGACTTTTAGATTCTTTCCGTAATTTGGCTGTTGTTGATAGCGCTGCTGTAAACATTGGGGTGCATGTGCCCCTTTCAGTCAGTAGTTTTGTGTCCTTTGGATAAATACGTAATAGTGCAATTGCTGGGTCTTCGGGTAGTTGGGTCTTTAACTTTCTGAGGAACTTCCACACTGTTTTCCAGAGTGGTTGCACCAGTTTGCATTCCCACCAGCAGTGCAAGAGGGTTTCTCTTTCTCCACATCCTCACCAACATCTGTGGTTTCCTGAGTTGTTAATTCTAGCCATTTTGACCCGGGTGAGGTGGTAACTCACCGTGGTTTTGATTTGTATTTCCCTGATGATGAGCGACATTGAGCATCTTTCCATGCGTCTGTTAGCCATCTCTGTGTCGTCTTTGGAGAAATGTCTCATGTCTTCTGCTTGTTTCTTAACTGGATTATTAAGTTAATAGTAATTATTAATTATCAAACTAATAAGCTCTTTATAGATTTTGGATACTAGCCATTTACCAGATATGTCATTTGTAGATATCTTCTCCCATTCCTTAGGTTGCCTTTTAATATTGTTGATTGTTTCCTTTGCTGTGCAGATGCTTTGTATCTCAATGAGGTCCCAGTAGTTCACTTTTGCTCTTGTTTCCCATGCCTCCCGAGACGGGTCTGTTAAGAAGTTGCGGTGGCCAAAGTCGAAGAGGTTGCTGCCTGTGTTCTCTAGGATTTTGGTGGTTTCCTGCTTCACATTTAGGTCTTTCATCCATGTTGAATTTGTTTTCATGTGTGGTATAAGAAAGTGGTCCAGTTTCATTCGTTTGCATGTTGCTCTCCTGTTTTCCCATCGCCATTTGTTGAAAATACTTCCTTTTTCCCATGGATATTCTTAACTGCTTTGTTGAAGATGAGTGGACCATATAGTTGTGGTCCATTTTTCAGTCTGTTCTGTTCCATTGATCGATGTGTCCTTTTTTTTTTTTTTTTTTTTTTTCCACGATTCACTTTTTTTGATGACTATAGCTTTATAAACAGCTTGATGTCTGAAATTGTGATGACTCATACTTCGCTTTTCTATTTGGGGACTTTTCTGGTTGCATACAAATTTTAGAATTGTTTGTTCTAGCTCTGTGAAAAATGTTGGTGTTCTATTCATAGGGACTGTATTGAATGTGTAGATTGCTTTGGGTTGTATAGACATTTTAACAGTGTTCTTCCAAATCATGAACATGGTATTCCATTTCCATTTCTTTGTATGTTCAGTTTCTTTCATAAGTGTTCTATAGTTCTCAGAGTACAGATCTAATTTTTACCTCTTTGATTAGGTTTATTCCTGGTATGTTATGATTTTTGGTGCAATTGTAAAAGGGATCGATTCCTTGATTTCTCTTTCTTCTGCTTCATTATTGATGTGTAGACATGCAACGGATTTCTGTACATTGATGTATCCTGGGACTTCGCTGAATTCATGTGTCCATTCCATTAGAGTTTTGGTGGAGTCTTTCAGGCTTTCCATGTGGAGTATCATGTCATCTGTGAAGAGTGAAAGTTTGACTTCTTCCCTGTTGATTTGGATGCTTTTTCTTTCTTCTTGTTGCCTGATGGCTGAGGCTAGGACTTCCAGTACTATGTTGAGCAAGTGGTGAGAGTGGACATTCCTGTCGTATTCCTGACCTTCGGGAAAAAGCTCTCGGTTTTTACCTGTTGAGGATGATACTAGCTGTGGGCCCTTTGTTTGTGGCCTTCATGATGTTGAGGTACATTCCTTCTCAAGCTACTTTCTTGATGGTTTTTAATCAAGAAAGGATGCTGTATTTTGTCAAATGCTTTTTTGGATCTATCGAGAGAACCATATGGTTCTTATCCTTTCTTTTATTACTGTGGTCCATCATACTGCTTTGCGAATATCCATATATAATGACCTTTTAATCACTTTACTCTTTTTTTGTGTGAGAATAAATAGGGAAATGAGGAGAGGAAAGGAAGCAAGTCTACATTTCTCTTAGAGGCAGCAGGCAATTGATTTTGTAATTTTTAAAAAATGTCAATTTATCCCCTTAATTAATAATATGTTTAAATTCTTTGTATGGTATTCAAGGCCATTTACATTTCCACTTTCCAGCTCCGATTTCTTTGCATTTCTTCGTTTCATCTCAAAATTCTGCAATGACAATGGATTCTTTAGTGCTAATCACCTCAAGTTCATTTCCTTCCTCTCTTCATTTGCTTATATTGCTCCCTGTGCCTGGAACGTCTACACCGCAAACCCAGGCAAAGTAGCAGAATTGTACTTTGTTCTCAAGGTCCGGGTCCTGTGGTAATTCCTCTGTGAAGTATTAGTGTTCCGTCCTCACCTGTTCTGAAGCACTTTATATTTACCTCCATTACAAGTTTCATCACATTCTTAAGTTTTGTCCGTGTGCCTACTATCCTTCCTAAGGGCTCAGAACTTCTTGAGGGAAGGTACTATATTGTAATCTTATTTGTTCAGACTCTAGTGATTGCTACCATGCTTTGTGTAGTGTGAACTCTTGCTAAGGGTGTGTTAAAAGGATAAATAAATGAATGAGTATGAAAGAAATCTGAATTTACTTGACGGGAATTGCCGAAACTCCCTTGGGTACCATGAAAATTGCTTTTACTTCTCGGACATTTTTGTTCAAATGTGTATCTAGCATTGAGAATATTTAGAATATGCAGAATATTTAACAGGAAAATAAACTGGTCTCATTTGTAGATCCCTGTTCCTTTGCATTATTTCATATGTTATTAGGTGCTTAAAAATACATTCTCAAGAAAAATATAATTCACATGTAAGAAATAAAGGAAATTGGGGCACCTGGGTGGCTCACTCGATTAAGCGTCCGCCTTCAGCTCAGGTCATGATGTCACGGTTCATGGGTTCAAGCCCTGAGTCGGGCTCTGTGCTGACAGCTCAGAGCCTGGAGCCTGCTTTGGATTCTGTGTCTCCCTCTCTCTGCCCCTCTCCTGCTCACCTCTTTCTCTCTCTCTCAAAAATAAATATAAACAGAAAGGAAATTGTTTTCTTATGGATATTAAATCTATTCTCAATATAGTATGATGGGATTATGAAACTCTTTGACTTCATTCTTAATCATAATTTGAATTTTTATTGTTTAAGAAATGCCATTCTGTGTATATAATTTGCATCACATTTCATTAAGAAAGTAACCGATGTTGCTCTTTCGTTTCAGCCAAACCATTTACTTCTAAAGTGAAACAGATGCGACTCCATAGAGAAGACTTTGAGATATTGAAGGTGATTGGTCGAGGAGCTTTTGGAGAGGTAAGAAAGCAAGTTTTTATAAAAGTTCTGCCGAATGGTTTGGAAGTGATTTTATACAGTCTGTGAGGCAGTTTAACTGAAGTATGATTTCCTTGCTGTCGTAACTGAAACAGTTGATTAGAAAATATATTAGAGTTGGAATGAAATATTTCCACATGGAATTTTTTTCCAAGATATTTTTCTTCTTCGTAGGTCGATAAGGTTGAGTATGCTTCTGGACTCTCTCCTCCGATGGCATGTCTGTCTCTCCTGTAGCTTACAAAGTCTCCCCATCTGGCAGTGCACGTGCTCCAGCACCGTCCCCTCCTCCTCTGTTCTTGGCCCTTTAGATTTTCATGTAATTTTACAATGGGTATTTCAATTTCAGAATCACTCTTAAAGATCCATACCCACATATGTGCTTGAATTTTGGTGAGGATTACACTGAAACTAGAGATCAGTTTGTAGGAGCGCCTGAGTGGCTCAGTTGGTTAAGCTCTGACGCCGGACTTTGGCTCCGGTCATGATCTCGCGGTTCATGAGACAGAGCCTCCTGTCGGGCTCAGTGCTGACAGCGTGGAGCCTGCTTGGGATTCTCTCTCTCTCTGCCCCTCTCCTGTTCGTGCTCCCTCTTACCCCCATCTCTCAAAATAAATGAATACACTTAAAGAAAACAACAAAAAATCTCTTTAGACATCAATTTGAGGACAATTGACACCTTAATACTAAGTCAGCCAAGCAACGAAGGAATGTAACATTCTTTACTGTTTTAATTAGAATTGTTAAATTTCATTTTCTGGTTGTTTTTTGCTAGTAGTTAGAAATATAATTGAATTTTGTTTGACTTCATACCTAGCAACCTAGCTAATTTTGCTTTTTCAGTTATGAATTGTGCTGGATTTTAAGAAGATGTTTTATCAGCATCTTTTGAGACACTTAAGGCTTTTCTCTCTTACTCTGTTAATGGATTGAATTACATCAGTTTATTTTCAACTATTGAACTAACCTTGCACCTCTAAGCTAAGCCCAACTTTGTATTATCGTCTTTGGGTTTCCTTGCACTTGGTTTGCTATGTGAGCATGTACGTGCTTAGGATCTTTGAGAGAAATGGGCCTGTAATTTTCCTACTTAAAATCCTGATGAGATGTTGGTATTTTGATTATGCTGGCCTCATAAAAAGAGGGACATGTTCCCTCTTTTACCGGTCTCTGGTTGAGCTCAGGAAGATTGTTATTTCTTCCTTATATGCTTAGAGGAATTCACTTGTAAAACCACTGGGCCTCGAGATTGCTAGTGACACAGTTTGCGATGATATATTTAATATCTTTAGTGGAAATCAGACTGTCACATGCTCTACTGACTGAAACAGCCGGGCGCCTTTGTTTTCTAATCCAGTCTAATAATCTCTTGTCTTTTAATTGGAGTATATGGTCAGTTGGCATTTAGTGCAGATACACTACCTGCTACTATTTTATTTCTATACCTGTCTTGCCCATTCTGTATTCTGTGCCTTTCAACTCCTGGATTAATGGAGTAGTTTATTTTATTTTATGTTTTTAAAATATTTTTTATTTATTTCTAGGAGAGAGAAAGAGAGAGAGAGAGACAGCGTGAGCAGGGGAGGGTCAGAGAGAGAGGGAGATACAGACTCTGAAACAGGCTCCAGGCTCCAAGCTGGCAGTCAGCATAGAGCCTGACGCGGGGCTTGAACCCACGAACCACGAGATCATGACCCAAGCGAAAGTCGGACGCTTAACTGACTAAGCCACCCAGGCGCCCCTAATGGAGTATTTTAAATGATTCTTTCCCTCATTTATTAATTTCTTAGTTTTACCTTTTATTGGTTTCCCTAGAGATTGCCTCATGTGTCCTTGGTAAATCTGTGTTTTGCCAATTCTGATTTACCTGACTTCTACCTTTTTGTCATTGTTGTTATGTTTTTAGTTCTACATATAACTAAAACCTCAGAAACTACTGTCCCTCCTCATGTAGGCCGACTCCTTCGTTTACATTTTCTCTTATTCTTCACATTTGCATACTTCCCTTTGGTACCGTTTTCATTTTGACCTAAAAATTCCTTTTACTATTTCACATTGTCTGCTAGTGATAAACCGCTTTTATTTGTCTGCAAATATATTTATTTTGAGGTCATAAAATTTTTTAAAAGTTGAGTTATATGCACGCATAACTTAGTGGATTTTTACATTTGCATGGATTTGTGTGGCCGTTACGCAGACCAAGATAGGTGTGCATTGCCTCCCCTGTGTGAATACGTACCTCCGTATTGACTGTCTCATTGGCTTTATCACTGTAGACTGATTTTGCCTCTTTTTGAATTTTATATTAATGGAATTTTAATATATCCTTTTTGTGTCTTATTTTGCTCAAGATTATGCCTGTGTTATTCACTTTTGTTTGTATTGGTTCATAGTACTCCTTTGTATAAATATGCCACAGGTTATTTATTCATACTGTTGGTGCGAACTCAAGTTGTTTATGGTTTATGGCCATGTCAGTGATGTTGTTATGAACATTCTTGTACATGGCTTTTGGGAGACGAGGCACTAATTTGTGTTGGATATAAACTGAGGAGTGGAATTGCTGGGTCACTGGGTAGCCATATTCAGCTTCAGTAATTAGTGCCAAATAATTTCCTGGGTGGTTACCCATTTATCATTTTTACCAATACATCCACCAACAATGTGTGAAGGTCCCAATTGCTTTACAGCCTCACCAGTACTTGGTAATTTTTTTTTTTAACTTTAGCCATGTTTTGGTGGATGGATAGTAATACTGAATTATGATTTTATTTTACATTTTCTGGTAATTCTTTAAGTTAAGCCCATTTTCATATTACTTTATATAACTTAGTTGTTGTTTTTTTTCCATGAAGTGCACATTCTGAGGTTGGGGAATTAGGATTGGTTGGGGGATTGGGAGCAGGTTGTTGGATTTACTGGTATGTATTCTAGATTTAAGTCCTTTGTTGGAGATCGTGTATATGTGTGTATTAAATAAAATATCTCTTCCTTCCTGTGGCTTGGCTTTTCCTGCTCCATATGGATCTTTTATTGAAGAGAAGTTCTTAGATTTAGTGAGGACCAGTTAATTAAACTTTTCTTTATTGATCAGATCCTTTTCGTGTTTTTTTCCTAACCTCAAGGTCATATAGACATTTTCTTGTGGCATCTTCTATAATCTTTAAAAGTATATTTTATATTTCAGTCTCTGATCCAATTGGTATCAATTATTTTGTATTTCTTGAGGTAGAGGTCAAGGTTCATTTTATTCTTTGTGGGTTTTATACATTTATTTATGAGAGTTTGATGTTTGTGGATGAACTTTATATAGAATTCTATTTTCTAACTTTGTTGCTAGAATAGAAATACAATTGATTTTTGTATATTCTCATCTTGTATATAAGGAGGATCTTGACGTTAGTTTATTAATTCTAGTTTATATGTGAGTTTTTTGAATTTCTCATAATCATATTTCTAAATAATGACAGCTTTTTCTTTATTTCTCCCCAATCCTTGTGCCTTTTATTTCTTTTTCTTGTATTATTGCAGTGGAAAGTACCTTCCATAAAATGTTGAATTCAAGTGGTGACAATAGAATTTTTATCTGGTTTGTGATTTCAGGGGAAAGTGTTCACTATTTTACTATTGAGTTTGAAGTTTGCTACAGCTTTTTTGTTTGTATTGTTACTCTTTTTCAGCTTAAGGAAGTTGTCCTTACAGTCCTAGACTGCTGAGAGTTTTTGCCACGCACAGGAGTTAACTTTATTGAGAGCATTTTCTGTATGTGTTTTGATGTTATGATTTAACTTCTTTATTTGGTTACTGTGGGGATTATATTGGTTAGTTTTTAAATGTGCCAATATTGCATTACTGTGTAAGTCCAGTTGTTCCTGATGTGTCATTTTAATATACAGAGTTGGGTTTTGTTCAGCAGTTTTTTGTTTTATATGCATGACAAAGATTGGCCTTTAGTTTATGTAGCCTGTTAATTTTGGAATGACATATTTAGTTCATAAGACAATTTGGGAAGTGTGCTTGCTTTTTCAGTTTTTTGAAAGAGTTTGTAGAGGTTTAGTATTATTTCTTTGAAAACTAGTGAAGCCATTTAGACTAGGAGTGTAATTTTTTTTTGTTTTGGTTGTCTAGCTCTTCTGAGGTAAACTTTATATATGTTGAAGTACACAAATTGCATATACATATAATGCTGTGAGTTTTGATAGATAGATTCACCTTTATTGAAGATACAGAATAATTCTATCTTCCTAGCAAGCTCTCTTTCCTGTCAGTTTCCCATAACTTCCAGTGGCAACCACTGTTCTACATTTTAACTGTGGATTGGTTTTGGGTTTTTGAAAATTTCATGTATGTGGAATCATACCCTAGGTACCTTTTGGTATACAAATTCTTTTGCGCAGAATATGTCTATGAGAGTCATCCTTGTGATTGAATGTATCAATATTCCCATTTTATTGCTGATTAGCATACTGTTTTATTAATATACTACAATTGATCCATTCTTCTGTTGATGAGCATTTGGGCTGTTTATAGTACAAGAAATACTTGTACAAGTATTTATGGAAATATGTTCGTCTTTTCTTTGGACAAATACCTCCTACTGGAACTGCCCTGTTAATGGTAGGTGCAGGTTTAAATTTAAAAGAAACAGGCACATTTTTTCTAATGAGGTTATACCAGTTCACATTCCTACCACGTTCCATGGCTCCCACCAGTACTTTTCTGTTGTTAGTCTAGTGGGTGTGTAATAGTATCTCGTGGTCTTAACTTGCATTATTACGTGGATTTGTGTTATCTATCAACATAATGTGTTTTTGTGGCTTATTCACCATTCTTTTATCTTCTTGGTGAAGTATGTGTTGAGACATTTTGCTCATTTTTAAAAATTGAGGTATTTGTATTGTCATTGAGTTGTAGGAGTTCATTAATTTTTTAATGTTTGTTTATTTTTGAGAGAGAGAGACAGAGCACAAGTTGGGGAGGGG